GTGCATATATTCTAAATGCGCCACTGCTAATATACTTGTAATTAACTGATTTAAAATTTAAACTAATGAAAATTAAATTACTTATTTTACTTTATAATGTTATTGATTCCTTAAGTAATAACACTTAAAAATTAAAAATACAACATTTCTCCACAAATATGTTGAAATTGAAATTTAATAAAGATGTATCAATTAAGAAGGCATAGCTATTCGTATATACAAACAAAATTTTCTAAACAATTTCAAAACAATGAAATACATATTTTGTTGATATCGTATAATTTGATGAATAATTTTAAGTGTTATTTCTTGTCACTTAAGTCGACATTTAAATTTTTGTAGAGTTAATAAAATCGAAATTTTCTGTCTTAATTTTCAAAAAATCCTGAGTGCAATATAATACGTCTTCTTGTGAATTATCTTTATTAAACCTTTATTATTTGCAGAGGTCTTTTGGGCAAAATTGTTTTATAATTTATTAATTAATAATTTAATAGTATAATAATTTCAAACCCTGATTTATTAACGTTTGTAGAACGTAACAATGTTTACATACATCTAAGTTGTTCGGTCTAAGTTTAATTTAATTAGTATAATAGTATGAAATAAATATTGGTTTTCATGGCTATGTAATTTATTGAATAATTTTATAATACATTAAAATATTAAAATATAACTAAACATTGTATTATACCCCATTAATAACTAATGATAGTCTGTAAAGGTAAATAAATATATTCAAAATGCACAACTATAATTAAATGAAATCATGAAAACAAAAAATTTGATATAAATTATTTTTTCAAACACTTTTTTTATGTGTGTTTTTATTGAAATAATACTGATATTTATATTTATACTATTTCGGATTCGGTCGCAAACATTTTTCTAAAATCAATTTTTATGGATTTTCTAAAACAAAATCATTCAAAATTTAAAGGTATTCCGTTGAATACAATTTTCTGTATTATCCTGTATACAATCACATAATATTATAAAACTATGTATTGCTGGGTCAGTTAAGATGTCTATCTAAAAATTAATTCATTATACTGAGAACATAACGAGGCCAACGTTAAATAACTGATATTATCGTATATTAATGTATTTCATTGAAAACATTTCATGGTTTGTTAATTGAATAAAATGCTTTATATCCTTATAAAATAATTCTTTACCATATTATGTACAAGAAAGTAGGAATAAAAATATTTAATAATCAATATTTTATTGTTAAAACCCATATGTATACTACTGAATTTTAATTATATTTAGATTTAAATGTTCGAAATAAAATTATTCGTTTACAAATATATACATACAAGTAGATTTTATAATATTATAAGCGGTATACATTTCTTACTTTTGAGTTCATTTAAAAAAAAAAAATACGTTGGTATAACCAATTGGAAGGAAATACAAACAACATTTTTTACTTTGTGTACATTAATTAACATTTTTAAAACACTTTTATTTTCAATAAACCATATAAACACGGAAATTTTATTATTTTAAAAATTATGAAAAAACCTGCACCCATATACGGTGACCGAAGATTTTCCAACCAAATCTTCTTGAAAAAATAAACTCCGAAGGAACAAATTCGTACTTCAAACTAATTATACTTAAGAAATAATAGAATATTAAAAACAAACAAATCAAATAATAGTTTACTTATTTTCATTTGGTTAAAAAATCATATTATTAAAATAAAATATCATTGTCCGCGAATAGTCGTAACTTGATTCGAATACTACTGGCTAACGCAGTTGGTTTCAGCACATATATTATATATTTATGATGTTTTACCAACAATGTTTCGAATCTAAGGCATATTAAATTTAATGTTCGATCTCAAAACATTGTCGTTGGTAAATTTTATCTTTTGCCAACGCTCTAACTGATATGATCTTGTGCATACACCCAACTCGGTCATTTATTTCGATCATAAAGTTACCGGGTGCAAAAAAATGTGTCTTATATTGTTGTACGCTATTTATCGAGAAAACAATCATTGGAGCATTATATCCGAAGCTTTCATTAAATCACTTTTCTATAACTGCATATTATAAAGAGTTTCAAAATCTATTAACACGCGCAAATAACCAGCTCATCTCATACCTCGCTGCGCATCGAGCAATATAATCAAGTTAACCAATTTGGCTTCTCAAATTCCCATTGCATAAAGAGTGGTTCTTTCGGGTAAACCAAAACGGGTGATTTTTTAGCCCTGTCAATTTTTTTTTTTATAAAATTAAATCGACACGTCGCCGTGGCGATAAACCGAATACAATGCAAATTTTTAATGAATTAATATTAAATATTATTAACGATCTCTATGTATATTAAATGTCCATATAGTGACACGTTGCATCATACTCAAAACTCCATTGACGTTTCATTGACTGCATTTCAACAGCCGTTGATAGAGAATTTTTAGTCAATATATGTACAGAAACAAGTATATACATATATATTAGTTTGTATATTATGTATATTTAGTGTTTTAAATATTAACTCACAACCTCTTTTCTTGGACCATATGTTTTCACTGTTTGTAAACACAAATCCGCGATTTCAACGTGTACGAAATTCACATACACGGTTCTAGAATACACTTGTACATTTTATCATAGTCCATTGTAAGTAAATATGTTTTTTGAAAAAGTATCGTGTGATCGTACCGCAGTCAATAATGATATTAACGTCGAAGGAGTTATTCATATATTTTTTTATGATTTAAATTGAATGCGTGATATTTAGTGCTATAAAACTCAGTTTTCAAATCAATTAAACATTCACGTTTCAAAAAAAAAACCGTTAGATATTGGCCTTTTCGAGGTTTCGATAATTTATGCGGTCGCGTACATAACGCGTAGACGGTCGGTGATCGGAGTCACACACATCCAAGGAGTGGGGAGAATACGTATAGGTAGACGCAAGCGAACCATGGTGATGAACGCGTGTTAACCCTAGAGATTCTTCAGTGAGATCCCCGCTTTCTGTGGCCGTGCGTGTGGACGAAAATCGAACTCGGTCGGCACGTACAGGATGTGTACGCGCGTCATCGTTGCTACGAATATAATGTACTATAATCAGACGCAATGACGACAATAATCATCGGAACCGACGGACGGGCGAATGTACGACAACGATACCATTCAGTCGGTAGTCGTATAGCGCTTGTTACGAGATGACGTCGTATCACACCACGCGTGCACGAAATTCGTCGCCGGGGTGTGGTAGTGGAAGCGGCGGAGGGGATGGAAAACGATCCGGTGGGGATTTAATTTTGTATTCAATCATTATTATTATTATTATTATTACTATTATTATTATTATTATTATTATTACTATTATTGTTATTATTATCATATTCTTCGGTTCGAAACGGAGTGTTATTATTATTATTGTTTTACAAATAGCGTCCGGTCATTAAGCACGTGTTTTAACAACAATCGGAACCACGGTTATTATTGCGGTACATACGGTGCACCGCGGTGTAGTGCATTAAAATGAAAACGCGGTGACATGGTTGTCGCTTAACCCCCGTGTTATACCGTCTAACGTGATGCGTACAAGGCGACGGCGTTGCGTTCGTACGGCTGAGAACCGCGTAGGCGAGTGTCGCGTGTGTGTTGCGCGCTCGAGCGGGGCACGCGTAGGCACGCGAGAACGATCTTCGCGGATGCGTCCCGTCGGCGTTCTAATAAGTATTAAATTGACGCCTACTGCGGCGGCGGAGACACGGCGGTTTATCGCCTTTTTTTTTTTTTTTTTTTATCGTCGCGACCGGACGGGACGAACTGTTTGTTTAAACATGATATCGTCGGGATTCGCGTGCGCCCGACACCGCGGGAATTCAGTGTAGTCGGTGCGTGCGCGCGCACGTGTCGCAGACGATCTCGATGAGTGTAGTGTCTCTGGACGTAGGGATCGTTGTAAAGGTGCGGGTTTCACAGTTGACAACGGAAAGCGTGGTATGCGTACACTCGGTAAGAATCGACCGCGAGCTCGTACGGCATATGCACGCGATAATGTGTACAACACTCGTACCAATAACGCGTTTTGGTCGTAAAATAATACCGTACGCATCCGACCGTTGCGCCTACGATGATGAGCGCAAACGCTGGATTGACGAAGAATTCGACGAAGATAATGGTACAAAACCTAGGACATAAAGCTTGGGTAACGTGTTCGGTTTTCTAATATCATCAACAACCCGGCAGTGGTGGTTGACACCGTCCGTGACCGTTTTATATTCTCCCTTTGGAAATTCTTTCGACCCTTCGTATACGGACGGGGGCCCGTTCTATCTAATCTCACGGACACACGTGCGTCGTTATCGAGCGATAACCGTATCGTCGTAGGTTCACTCAAGGAACGACGTTTCATAGGCGTTTATCTTTTACGCTACGAGTGAACGTCTGCGGGTTACGCATTGAACATTCGCTTTTGGACGTACCGGTTAGGTATACAGTATTGTATTCGATCCGTCTCATTTAGTTGTCGTTCGATGATGATAACTTAAAGTGTTCGTTTGAACGTAAATAATCTCGTATTTTTCGAAATCGTATACACATTACTGACCACACCTGAAAAAGCGCGTACAACGTGTTAGCCGACAACGTACCGCAGACGCTAAAATATATAATTTTTCGTACTGCACACTTAAGGATTTTGTAATACTCCGCTTTCGAACGTTAACAGTAATGAGTAACACAGTTAGAATAGTTTAGTTTTTTAGATTTTGCTGATGATACATTTTGGAATTTTAAAATAATGTAAAATAATTTAATAAAAAAAATTGTAAAATTAAAAACAAATACCATAATACAGAAAATAGAACCACAACAGACTTTTTAATTTCGTACCACACGAAGTGTGTCGTACGGCACACAATTTTAGGCCCTGCTGACATACCGGTTGTCAACACTATCGTTTTTTCTTTTTCCGCATCGCAACTCGTCTTTGACACCCGTGTCTGTTTGACTTTGCAGAGGCGCTGAGTGGCGCGGGCGAGGTGAGCACCGAAGAGGCGGCCTCGTCGTGGAGCTCGGCCGTGTCGGAAGACCACACTTCGCCGGACAGCTGCACCACAAGCAACAGCCGGCCCGGTTCCACGGTTGAACACCACCGCGACAATCACCACCACCGCCACCACCATCCCCGTCACCACAGCCGTCCGTCGTCGTACGCCACGGCCACGGTTGCCGCCGCAGCCGCCGCCGCAGCAGCCGCGACCGCCGCCGCAGCAGCAGCCAACTCCAACGAGGCCAACCCGTACGCATGCCAATACTGCGACAAGACGTTTCCCCGGGGCAGTTACCTGAAGAAACACGAACAGGTGGGTGACTGTTTTATCTTATTTTTATTTGTGTACGATATTTTCTATCATGTTTTTTTTTTTTTTTTTTTTTTCCCTTTTTACACACGTGCGCAACACGCGCGCACTGTGAATATACCGTTTCGATATTACGTATTATTCAGTAGCTCAAACTTTTACCGTCGCATACACCTGTTGTGTACAAATTTCCAATTTAAGCTCGTCCGTTCGATTGATGACTTTAATCATCTACATTTATTTGTTTGTTTTTTAATTTTTAATTTAAATATTTAGTCGTCAATGTAGTCAATATGTTTTATTCTAAACGACAGAAGGTTGGAAAATCTCGATTTGGGTAAATTGACTTTAAAGAATTTATCGATTTTCCAACTTATCTTAAAAAGGAAGAAGAAGACCTAGAACAAATTTGATATCACAAGTATGTAGAGAACGTGGTCTTAAAATATGTAGATATCAAAAGGAAAATAAAAAACGGAGAAGAATGGTGGAGAATTGTAGGAAGGTATTCGGCCATTTGGAAGACTGAAAGATCTAAAGAAGAAGAAGAATTTTTCTATCGTTTCTATTTTACATTTGCGGGATTATAGACTAAAATTTATATTTTGAATTCATTTTACTAAATCGTACATTTTTGGACTGCATATTTATCGTCGAGTTAAATAATTTCAACATCGATCATAACTGTTGGTCCTTCATTGTATCTAGTCAATTTAGGTCAAAAGGAACTGTTTATAATAGTTATAAAAGAATGTATCTTACCGCATGGTAGATTAGAACCAACATTTTTCTAAATCTTATATTTATCTAGTGTTCAGTGGGATAAAATCCTAATCAAATTCAAATGCACTCCACATACGGACTAACATGATACATACCTAACCTGCATGGGCCCAGTAGTTGGTCAGTTTTAATCATCGTGCTGAAATATTACTATTATAAATATCGTTTTCCTTTCCCCGGAGAGGGGGACGTCCTCGAAGGGTCCGATTCAGTATGTGTGTACACTAAAACACATGTTAAACAAACTCGTGCAAGTATATATTATAGATATATGTGTATACATTATATTGCATGACAATGCGGTGTGTATTGGAGTGTATTACAACGAATTGTGCGGTTATTCTTTTTCTTCCGTTGTAGATGCCCCGTAAACGTGCGCGTGTAAAATCACAACAATAAACGTTCATGTGCGTTTTGGAAATAAATGAGTTTTTGTTTTAGTCTTTTTTTTTACGTTTTCGTGTTCACATATAATCGCGCATTACATAGATTTCAAATTGTTCAATTCACGCGATTCTCGCCATTATCTACGTGTGCGCAATACTAATTGACTCGCAAGACACCTACGAAACAAAATATTATTCTAATATACTTACCGTGGCCGAATTTTTTCTAAGGCCGTCTCTAATTTCGTTATGTTTACAGTATTTGTTCACTAAATTTTATTTTTGTCACCCAGTTATATTTACGACAACAATAATCAATACGTATTATACTTATTTTTTCGACGATCTCGAAAAAAGTTCTATAATATGTGACTGTGATGTTTATTAGCTTTGCTTATCATCAGCAAACTGATATCGCACCACTATACTTTGATATAATTGTATGCTAAGTTTATAAAAATAAATTGATCTGTTGTTTTATTAAACATGAAACTGAAACTCTTATATACGCTCTTTCTCCTCCCTCAATAACTATAAAACTGTTTTAACACTTAAAATGTATATCCATAATACACGTTATGATATATATAAATATATTTATACTGAGGTACTAATTATCTCACTTAAATTTGATACTTATGAGTTATATTTATTGGTAATCGTTTATCGATAAACGTGTATATCGTTTAGGATTCTTGAAATTATCGATTGTATGCACTTTAAAACATTGTGACATTTTGTTTCAACTTTGCATTATTAGGTATATCGTATTAAAATAAAATATCAACCACTTTGCTTGTTAATATTATGTACCACTATTGTTAATATGCTTCAAACTGGATAAGTAAATAAAATAAAAAGTTAAGTATTAAAATAAATCTAAGTATGGTGTATTATTTTTAGTTTATATCTATTAAAAAAAAAAAAAAACAAAATAACTTTCACCACCAGAAGTAAAAATATATCGGTTAAAATTCAAAACGCAACAAAAATATTATTTACATGAAACGCAATCTAATATGTGGAAGTAGAACTTTTGTCACAGTGTGAACTTCAAAAATACGATCCCGATTTAAATATATATGTAACTTAGTTTATAATTATACTATCAAACGACTTCGTCTTGTGATGAAAGTTTATTATTTTACAGAAAATAAATTGGTTGAAAATATTCTATTTTACGGATAGCTGTTGTATAATGATATAAAATTGGTGAATTGTTTAAGTTGCGGTGGTTTTTTCTGTGTCATGATATCTATAACCAGGTTTCTTTAATCTTGCGCTTGTTTACATAAAACGAAATTCGTGACTGTGATCGATTTATACTACTACATCTAACCAGCTGAAACGATTCGTTTACTATCGAATATTGTTGTTGATTTTCGTTGGTTTTCGAAAAGAAAACAAAAACGTAATATACAAACATAATTTTCCGAACCCGTACCAAGCCTTCACCGTTACAAATATAGAAAAGTATAATGTCACTAAAGGTTTATGTGTTTTCGAACCAAGGTGAGTTGGATGATGTATATGTACTAGCTGTTAAAGAAAATGATAATTGATCGATGCACCAGAATTATCCTCGCGTAAACCTGCAGTAATTCCTATTGTGGATTTGAAACCATATCTCTGCCGAAACAGACGGAACAAAGGACAGGGTCCTGGTGCTGAATCGATGTTCTTATATATATTTGATCATTCTATCATCGTTCAATAAACGAGAATTACGATTTGCGGCGGCAAAATTAAACCAACTATAAGAGTGCATATAATATATTGTACGTATGGAGTGTTAGATTCACCGGTCTTTATTATTATCAGACCTAGTGAAATATCTGTTCGTTTTTATATTTTTCGCTGTTCCGTATCAAAACAATTGATTCGCAGGATATTAATACACCTAGAGCGGACGCTCATAATAAGACGTAATTAAATCGAAACGTTTTGGAATTCCACTTAATCACTGTGGTACTTGTCCAGTGGTAATTAAAAATATTGTTAAACGAAACCATCGATTGTTAACTGTGAGCAAATCGAAACACGTATCATTTACGTAAGAACAGCCTTGACGACATGATATCATCGCATCGAATTCGAGCGTTTGCACATTTACGTTTATTTATTTGTATTCTTTATAAATACTATTGCTAGTAACCCCATCATATATATATATCTTACAATCATAATACATAAATAGTCAATACATTTATTTTCTATTTTTAACGGCTAATGATCAATAGACATGATACCAGAAAATACTTGGGAGTGGCCTGTGGAAACCGTATTATTTAAGTCGTGGCCGACGAATTTCGGACGAATGTGTAGCAACTTCGAATTCGAATAAAAGAAACATAAAAATACGCCAGCATTGCCATTAAGATGTAATCTGAAAAATTAAGTTCTTAAATTTAGACAATATCAGCCATATTTGTGCCCAAAGGCCAAAACAAACTCTAATTGTATGCAATCCCTCGTAATTTACTATAGCCTTATGTAGCGCCCTCGATACTTGAACGCCCTAAGCAGTACTTCCTCTATCGGAACGACTATTGTTTAAACTTCGAAAAAATAATAGTATGATTATTTTACATTTTATGAAATCGTACTTAAAAAAAGTTATGATTATTTTATGACTCGTGCACTACCTACACACAAAATAAGTAAATAAGTAATAAAATAATACTTCTTAAGTTGCGGATTCATATCACAATTTATGAAATAATACTCAGAATACATTAAAAAAAGTGTATCAGTAGTAGTTGGCATACCGACATGTTTTCACAACTCAAACGAATACGTACTACGTACTTTGTAACCATAGTCGGGTAACTGAGATCTATAGTCATTTTATGAATAACTACGATTTATATGTTATTATAATAATGCGAACCAAATAGTCTGAATTTTTTTTTTTTTAATTATTGTTTAGATACAAAAATCGCATTTCTATCTTAAATGAGAACAATTATTTTTCCAAGTGACTGATTTCACGTCCGATCAATAGCCGAAACATAAGAAGTTTCATCTAAACGTCTTTGTGCATTTATCAATTATTTATTCACGTGCATATATCATGCACTGCACTTGAGACGGTCAAGATTTTAGAAACCATCGGTACAACGTTTTTAGACAACTATTAGAAAGATGTACCAAATGTAATGAGCGCCCATAGCAATGGCGATAGAAAAAACGACATGTAAAATTGTCGGCAACGATTCGGACTCGGAAAGCATTGTCTGAGGATCACTCGGGGTGAAAATTAATGAGAAAAATATGGATTTTGTGGGTGAAATCCTACAGACATCCGCAGCAGTTAGTCGCGCGAAACGCGATCGCTGATCAACGAAGGATTGTCGCGCGGTAAACGCGGACGAATACGGCGACGACGTGCGTACCTACATATGAAGAAGAAGAAGGTGAACCGGGTGACAGCTGACCGAGGCCCCGGTTCGGCCCCGGCCTCGGTCCGATAAGGACGTGAACCACCGCGAAGGCGCTCAACTCGTCCGGACACTGCCGCGGCACAATACATTACGTTCGTCACGGTTTAACGTGCGTCGTCCACGTCGTCGTTTCGTTATTATGTCAAATGTACGCGCGTTTAGCTGTTTAGCTTATTGCCGTTCAACTCGATGCGTAATAAGTCTTTGCGTGTGACCTAAAACACCAAGTGTCCGACGACGACCTCATGTGCTTCTACACTCGAAAAAGCGCGCCTGTAATATTCATTTACTGTTACCCGTGTGTACACGGATACGCGTTTGCCGTCACCGTCTGCGCAGCATCTGTGTTCGCGATCGCTAGTAGTGGGATCCCCTAGTGGCGGCATCAGTT